TGTGGTTTCAGTGTGATTGGGCTGACTCGTCTCATTCCACCTCTCCTGCTTTTGAGCAAGAATGTGAGGACTTGCTGTGTCTATTTTAGATTCCGTCATGAAAGGAATAATTGAGATTGAGATTCTTAGTCACTCAATGCGGAAGGTCAGGGAATTAATGCTGTGTTACACCAGACCATTCATTTACTGGGCCTCCTTTTTTTTTTCCCCTTAACTGTCTGTAGAGGAAAACAAATGTGGCTCAGAGAAGGTAACGCATCTTCAACACCGCACACAGCCCCAGCCTCTGATAATACACACTGTTTATCTTTATTTTGGGGGTGTTCCAGGGTAGTTTTATCATCATAATTGATTAGTGGCGACAGGGAGAAAAAAACCCAAGAGTAACAGGAAGAAATGATTCCAATGAATCCATTGACTCAGTGGTAGCATTGATCTACTTCTGGAAATTATTTATAGGAGAAGATTCATAGTTAATAATATTAGTTTGGACTTTGGGAGCAGTTTATCAGAGGCTCTTAAAGGCCTTTGGTAAAAATTAATCAGGGAGAGAAATAAGGTAGACAGCCTGGTTTCAGGAGAGGGAAGGAAATGGGATTTCTAGCATAACTCCGTCCACCCCAGGGTGAGAGGCAACACAAGGGGTAACTTGCGGTGCTTAGATATGTCCAAGCACAGGAGTGAGAGGCTGGATTTCCAGCTGCTCTATCAGACAACAGAGCCGGGGAAGTCTTTGGCAAATTCCCCACTAAGCCCGTCCTTCAGGTGAAGCCAAGGTGCCCACAGGACAGTGACCCCCGCCAGATCCAGCAGGGAGAGCTGCCCAGGCACAGCACAAACCCTCCTCTCCCCCTTCCTCTCCTCCCTGCTTTGTTTTTGGCTTTAACTTAATTGATCTGTATCCTGCAATCCTACCCGCAGGAGGAATGACACATCTGAAAAAAGCAGGAGGATTTGTTTAAAGTGAGCTGCTTGGGTTTTTTGCTGTGTGTATATATAGAATTGCCTGGAAGTAGTAAATAGAATTAAACACTGCGGTTCTGAAAAACAAAATTCTCAGGGCTGTCTGTTGATTTCAAAGCTGACGAAAACAAAGCAGGCTTTGAAATTTTTCCTTGCAGAGCTTCCCCCTCCCCCCTTATCATATGAAAGATGGGCCTGATAATATTTGGGTTTTATTCTTCTTTTGAAACAGTTGGAAAAAACACTGTTTTCTCAGTTAAGATGAAAATCACGATGTTTTTAATAAGGTCAGTGTAATGTCTTCATTAGCAAATGCTGAAATAATTTGATGCAGATCTGGAACTTGATAGCGAAAAACTCCAGAGTCTACCCAAAATATGGAGCCACATTTGCACCAGGTGTGAACCAGTACTGATTCCCTAAAATTACTGGTTCTGGGATAGCCTGTTCCTGTTTAGGGACTGGCTGCTGTGTTTTAAAGTCACTCCCTCCTGCGCAGCCAGACTCAGTGGTTTTTGTTTGTTTTCTTGCCTGGCCCTGGGCTGCTGAGAGCTCCAGGGCTGGGCAGCGCTCACGGGTGTTGGGTTTGGTGGTTTCCTTTCAGGTGATGGAGCAGGTGGAAACAGAGGGGTTGGCAACATGGGAGGCGGTGTAGAGCTCACCACGAGGAAACACAGGTGACGTTAATGGACGGGCAGCCTAAAATTAAATCAAAAATATCCAACGCACTAAGTCTGCACTCTGCTGAAATTTTGTCTACCAATATCACAACCAAAGCTGCTGAGTGCTGTGCACTTAAAAGCCTGTCCTCTGTTGTGAATCCCAGGGACACACAGGAAGTCTTTGCCCAGCTTTTTGGAGATGTGGATGGTGCCTAGACAGCCCTGACCAGTCTGACACCACAGACCCCAAAGACATCTCTTCCATCCCCTGTGCTGTGTCTCCTCTGAGGCAGGGCTGGCACAACCCCGCTCCTGGTGTGGCTCTGTGGGTGCTGCAGGCACCGGGGTAACGCCCAAGGCAGAGATGCACCAAGAAGACCAATTGTTTGCAATGACATATTCTGCATTTTAAATGATCTTTGACTTCCTGGCAACTCCCCAGCATATCACCCCCTAGAATTCTATCTAAATAATGTTTGTCAGGTGAAGACACAGCTGGGCAGCAGGCAGGGCCCTGCTCCTCACTGGGGACCTCGAAACCCACCGGCCGATCAATCTCCACAACCTGCTAAATGATAGATGGAATGTAATATAGGTCATTATTTCTTCCCTATGCATGAAAATGAATTATTCAGTAAAGATTTAGATCCTTTTTATTATGACACTGAATTTATAGAGCATACAACACATAAATGCAGATTCCTACAGCCCCAGACAGATGAACTCGTTCTCCAGGCAGCGTGAGGTGGATGCAGCCCCTTGGCAGCGCAGTGTGGCAAAGACAGGATGTCCAAGGGACAGGGCTGCAGCCTGGGAGACTGGGACATGCCACCCTCCGTACCTGGAGCAGCATTCCCAATCCATGCCCAGCTGGTTTAGGAGCCCAAGGTCTCTTTGTTTCAGAAATCAGGCTCTCAGGGCCCATGTATCTCCAAGGAGATATGGGGTCTCGTGTCACTTTGGCCTTATAAATGCTGATCTTAACAACTCTGCATCAGTCTCCGATATGAAATGGGAGTTGTAAAAATTGAAAGGAAATTGGTGAGGCTAAAACCTGCTAATGAGAGTGAGTGTTATCTGAGTATGTGGACAGATGTGATGGTCCCAAATTCGAGTGTCCTGCAGAGCCACCATGGAGGATCTGGGCTGGTTTGAATCAATAGCAGTAACTTTCCTTGTTATTGGACTAAATGCTTCAACTTTTAATTGTGCAGCTAGGGAGAACGTTATCCCTGGCTGGCAGTTACAGATGTCAGCTTTGCAGTTCATTAGCTACTTCCCAAATTCCACTGGGACTTTGGATTTTTAGCATGAACATTAGAGGTTGGAGAAGAGGGCAAGCCTGCAAACTCTCAGTGGGCTGGAGGAAAATCTGGGATTGGGGCTGGAACAGCACCTTTGGGGCTGGGTGCTGTCGACTGTTGCCAAAGGAGCAGGACAGTGGATCCTGGTTTGTCACCCCTGGGCTTCAGGTGCCGAGCGTGTCCCCAGAGCATCCCTGGTGCCATGGGTTTGGCTTCTGCTGTGACAGCAGAGTGCTCACAAAGAGCAAAACCAATTGAACAGATTGAAACTCGTCACACCCCTGAACCCAGCCTCAGTTCTGGGGGAAGTGGAGAGAGAATGTACTGATAAAGTCTTCCCAAAGCCATTTGACCTGCAGCATTTGCTGATGGAAGGGATAGCAGTGGAGATTTCCTTTTAATATATAGCAATCAAAATTTCTTTCTGAGCCATAAGCAGCTGCACTGAAGTTCCTTCTGTCCATCAGCAAAATCTGTCTTGTGCTTGTTCATTCTGGAACCCCTTTAAAATTCTGCACCGCTGCCAGAGAGATTAAAGGGGTAATATAACCCCAGGAACCGCTCTCCTGACTAGTAATTTCCCAGTGATTATTACAAGAAATAGCTAAGATCTAAAGAAAGCTCAAAGCGGGGAGAAAAAGACTGTTCTTTAATCCCCCCCCATCCATTTCCTTTGCACATTGGTGCTGCTCACCCTGCTGGGGCAGGGCCAGGTCATCCCTCTTTCCCTGCCCGCTCTGGAGGGGCAGAGCCTTCCCCACTGCTGAGCCAGAGTTAAGCATTTCATGGCAAACCAAATAAAGGGAATTATATCTCATTTTACAGTGGTCAGCGTTAGAGCATGAAGAGGGGTGTTTCTCCAGTGGGCCTGACCTCCCAGCCCTGCGCACATCCACTCATTCCCACCTTGTTCATTAGTCCCTGCTGGAAAGTACATCCACATACTGCTCCCAGCCCCAGTAAAAATATTATAATCCCTGAGCTGGAAATAGTTGGCAACCCCAGAACAGCTCTTGCAGGCTTGGCTGCTGAGCTGGGAGGTCTTTGGTTGGGAGGCACTCGGTGCTGGACAGGTGGAAGAACTTTTCAGATGTCTCTGAAAATGTAGGGCAACATGGCTCAGTCTCGCTGGGTGTGCAAATCCATGCTCCTTAATTTAGGCAAACCTGCTTGCTGTGGATAATTACACCAATACCTGGCAGCCCCATCCCGCAAAGTACTGGTCAAACCCGGAGTGGGAAATGCAGGAGCTGGGGGGAAACGCTGGCTGGGCAGTGCCTGTGGGGCCGAGGGGTTCCCTGAACTGAGGGGTTCCTGAACTGAGGGGTTCCTGAACTGAGGGGTTCAGCGGAGCCTCGGGGTGTGGGGCTATCAGGACACGGGAACAGCGGGGAGCAGGACGCGGGGCTGCTGGAGCCCTGCAAGGGCACTGGGGTGTGGAGGAGCCCCCGGACATGGTGGCACAGGGATGTGGGGGCCCTGATGCCCGCCTGGCTGTGCGGGGTGGGAGCAGAGCAGGGGGCTGGCAGCGAACAGCCGGGTTCGGCCACGGGCCACCCCTCATGGGGGTCAGGGGCGCCGGGCAGGGTGTGACGGGCCCGGGGGCACAGTCCCGTGGGGACAGTCCCGTGGGCACAGTGCCGGGGGCACAGTGCCGTGGGAACAGTCGATGGGGACAGTCCCGGGGGCACAGTCCTGTGGGGACAATGCCGTGGGGACAGTCGATGGGGACAGTGCCGTGGGGACAGCCCCGTGGGCACAGCCCCATGGGCACAGTCGATGGGCACAGTCCCAGGGCACAGCCCCATGGGCACAGCCCCACAGGGACAGCCCCACGGGCACAGCCCCACGGGCACAGCCCCACGGGCACAGCCTCGGGTCTCGCGGACGCTCCTGAGGGACGGACGCGCGCGGGGCGGGAGCCGCGCGGGGAGGGCGCGGTGACGTCACGGTGACGTCACGGAGAGCCACGCGCCGCGGAGGCCCCGCCCCGCGGGGGAGGGGCGGGATGGAGGGAGGGGAGGATGGCGGCGGGGGGAGGGAGCGCCGGCGCGGCGCTGAGCTAAGCCGATCCCACGTGTGACGGATCTGGCTGCTGCCCCAGCGCCTCTCCAGTGAGATCCTCCGGTAGCGGAGGGAGGAGGAGGAGGAGGGGGGAAGGGAAAAAGGGGCAAAGCGAGCGGAGCAAACCGAGCCAGAGCCGGGCCGGGGGGGGCGGGTTGGGCGGGCGGGGGGGGTTCTCAAAGGGGCTCTCGCTCGGCGCGGCCATGGAGGCGGACGGGAGCCAGGCTACCTCGGGGAGCCCCGGAGAGGCGCAGCACGACCCCGGGTAAGTCGGCGGGGCGGCGGGGGCCAGGGGCGGTCAGGCGGGCCCGCTCCGCGCCGCTCCGCTCCGCGCCCCTCCGCCCCGCCGGGAGCTGCCCCGTCAAAATGGCCGATCCCGCACCGGCGCTCAACTCCGCTCTGCTCTCTCCCTCCAGCAAGATGTTCATCGGCGGCCTCAGCTGGCAAACCTCACCAGGTAACCCCCGCCCGCCGCCCCCTCCCCACGCGTGTCCCGCCCCGCGTGGGCCGCGTCCCGCCGCGCCGGGCCCTGCCCGCGCCCCCCAGCCCTGACCCTCCTCTCCCTCTCCGCTCTCTCTCCGCAGACAGCCTTAGAGACTATTTTAGCAAATTCGGAGAAATTAGGGAGTGTATGGTCATGCGGGACCCCACCACCAAGCGCTCCAGGTAAAACCGCCGCCCACCCCGCTCGGGCTGACAAACTTCGCGAGTTGCGGTCGGGGCGGGTGGACCCGCAGCCCCCGATCCCAGCCCCAAATCCCAGCCCCAAATCCCGGCCCCGCATCCCCCTGCGCGCGTGGGGCGCTGCGGGAGGGCTCTGCCCGCATCCCTCCAGCCGGAGCAGGAAACAAAGCGGCCGGTGGAACCGGAGAGCGGCCGGGGGTCGGAGCCGGCCGCCCCTGCACCCGGCGGCTTCGGGGGAGGGCGGAGGAAGGAGGGGGACCCAGCGGTTTATTTTTATGACTTCTCCCTTTGGCTCCAATTCTCATCACCACCCCCCCCCACCCCCCCCCCCCCCGCCATCCCCTCGCTCTTTGTCTCTCGCAGAGGCTTCGGGTTCGTTACGTTCGCGGATCCGGCGAGTGTAGACAAAGTCCTGGCTCAGCCGCACCACGAGCTGGACTCCAAGACGGTAGGTGCTGCCGGGGCTGCCCGCCCTGCCCTGCCCGGCGCGGCGGGGACGCCGCTCCGAGCCCCGCTCGGCCGCTGCCAGCCCGGCACTGCACCGGGACCTTGCTCCGCTCTTCCTTATGTTTTTTATAGACTCTGCCTTTTAACTTGCCAAAAGCAGTAACTTTTTTTTTTTTTAATTTTTATTTAATTTTTTTCCCCCCGAAATCCGAATTCGCCCATACCGACCGCTGGCTCCTCCCCCGGCCTTATATTTTATTGAGCGGTGACATTGAAAAAGCTGTGGAGTAAAATCCAACTTTTTTTTTGGTGTTGGGCTGCGGCACGCTTTCTGCAGGGAACTTTGTGATTCTTGTGATTCTTTTGATTGATTATTTATGTATTGTTGAGCGCGTTTCAAGGTGGGAGTGACTTACTGTCAAACCGCGAAAGCTGCTGCTCTTGTCTTTTCCAAAGTCATTTTTTGGAGAGGTCTCCTCACCTGTGATGGCAGGGCCCCCGCGAAACGCACGCGGTAATTTATGGGAAGCTCTGCAAGAGCTGGAGAGTGGATGTGGTAGAGAAGCACAAGTCCTAATGTGTTGTTGTTTCTCCAGAGCTTTTTGCTGCGCTCAGTCTCCAGTGCATGATATAAGGAAAAAAATGCTTGTGAGATGCAGCTGATTTTTTTTTTTTTTAATAAACATTACATTTGTTTGGGGCTTTTTTAAACGAGAATTCCCCACCCGAGTTTGCCCCCTACCCCAATATGGTGTTTTCAGTGTTGGGTCAAACAAAAGGTATCAGGCAAGTGCAGCTCTGGGCCCTGTTTTCTCCCTGTGATCAAGGCCAAGCAAAAAATGAAGTTTTGTGCCTCCTACTTCGTTTGTAGTTTTGAGCCTCGGCAAAGCTGGGAGGGGAGGGGGGAAGGACACTGGTAGAGGTCATCAGTGCTCCGGTGCTGCTGGCTCTGGAGGGGCTGTGTTTGGGGAAGGGAACTGTCTGCACAGACCTGCTGGGCAGATCGAGCGTGGTCCTCACTGCCACTGGGGTTTACAGGCTCTGTCCTGGGGCTTAAGGGTTTTATTTTAACCTGAGCGTGGTGTTAGGAGCCATCCTGTCTCGGTGCTGCAACATCTCACGGGTGCCTGTGTGTGCGAGATTGTAGCTAAATGAAGAAAGGGAGAAGCAGGGAGCAAACACGAGGATATGGTTTTTTAAAAATGTAATTTATATGGAAACAAAAAGCCTAAAGCTCTTGTAGAAGCAGGTGGAATCTAGTGTTTTAATTCGACCTGCAGATTCTGCTGGGCTTGCCTGAACACGAAGCCCATGCTTTCACATGCCTTAATAATTTGATTTTAGGTTTAATCAGATATGGTAAGATAACTGATTCAACCGTGCTCCTGAAATTAAACTCACCAGACTTTTCATGTACAGCTATATTCTTTATGTGTTTTTAAAGATAAATTTAGATAAGAAGAACAAAGGCAAACAGTATCTTGAACAAGAGTTAAAAAAAAAAATCATGGGAGGACACCCTGTCATATTTCTGACTATAATTAGGTCCTCCCCCAGCTTTTTTCTTGTATCACAGTCTAGTCCCTGCAATGTATTAATTTGCTCTTCTCTGGGGGAGGGGTGACGAGCTTCACTGGGGCAGATACGCCTCAGTTTTGGTTGTGTGATAATGATTGAATCAATCCAAATACAAAACTGACCTCAGAATCCGTAACACAGCTTAAAAGTGAAGCCCAGAGCCAGGCAGGTCCTTTCAGGCGTGTATTTGTAGAGTATTGTAGTAACTGTTGTGCAGTATAACAAGGCATTTGACTCTGTTTCAACGTTCAGCACAGGAGGCAGATCGGTTGGGTATTGGCATGGAAACGTCGCTCTTGTTTACAGTTACGTTAAAAGCTTTGTTTAGGTAATGGCCATTCATATCAGAAATAGTATTATAGTCATTTCCTAGAGGACTTGTAGATACAGTAAGTAGAATTGTACCTAACTAACTAATTTTTTTTTGGTAGAACTTCAGTTTTTTGTTTTTGTTTTTTTTTTTCCTTTTGGTTGTTTAAATAGTTGACAGGGTTATGCAAAAGGTATGGATTTGCCACATTCATTGCTAGTGTTTGTTTTCAAAGGCTGATGGTGTTTATGCAAAAGGTTTTGGGAAGGAAAATTCAGTTCTTTTAGAAAATCTGTCGCTGTGGTGCAAGGGAGTCCATGCTCTTTGAACTGACCTTCAAAAATGAATGTGTTGCTTTGGAGTTTAATGGCTCTCCCAGCTTCTTACCAGCAGGACTTTGCAGTAATGTCCCTCTGATGGGCCTGGTGTTCTTTGGTGGGAAAACTTGTAGTTTTGGAGCAAACATAGAAAAGTGTATATTTTTCCACCTTTGGGTATCGCTGTGGAAAATCCGTACCTGTTGTATTTCCCCAGTAGACAAATGCCTAGTCAGTGCTGAATATATTTGTAGATAATGTTAATCTCTATGAAAAGGTTAGCTCTCTAGATAAATAATTTTACTTTTTATGCTTTTTGAACAATAAAATGGCATGTAATCGCTCATTTCTCAGGTGTGTCCTAAAAAGATGCAATATTTGTACCTGACAGAGGCAAATCAGTTTTATCAGCTGCACATCAAATGTCTGCGGTATTTCCCATTTTGACAAATTAATTGAGTAAAACTGCTTTTTAGGAGAGGCCCGTGGTTATTTAGCAGTGACAGGAATATTTATCACCAGAGGAATAACAATATCAAATGGAAGCAGCTCCTCTTCCTCGTCAGGGTTTGTTTGAGGAGGGGAAACGCAACAAAAGCCAAACCAGAACTCTAAAAAAACCTGTCCTAAATATGCTTAGCACTGTCAGTGTTAGCTGGTTGTGCAGGCAAGGACAGCACTGAAAGCTGTGTAGGTTGCACAGTTCAGGTAGGATCCAGTACTTCAAACCATCCTTTTGCAGCCTCTTCAGGCAGAAGATGTCTGTGTGCAGGTGCTGCTGAGAGCCAGCAGTGAGAGCAGCAGCACACGGGCGTTTTACTGCGATTTAGGGGAGCCATTGTTGGAAGGTCTGGTGGTTTTGTTTACATCCAGCCTGCTGCCCCTGTGCTCACTCCAAACACCACTGGGTGCCATTTCTTTGTGTCTGCCCTGGTGCCTTTTTGGTTTGATGTGATTTTTGAATGGGAGAGAGGAGTCCCTTTTTAAAGATGACCCCTGTGGAAGTTGTGTGGGGTTGCAGAATGAGCATTTTGGAATGCAGAGGGGACGTGCTAATTCATGCAGTGCAAGGGGAGCCAACGCTGCATCTTAAAACAGGCCAGGGGGGTAAAGCAAGGGGGTTTCTTCCCCTTTCTTTTTGTCTGTGGTGACATGCTTCATACATGAATAGTTCAAGTAACTCCTTAATGGAAAACCTTTTTTAGGAAGTTGTTTACTTTTGAGGTCAATGTGTGTATACTTCACATACATGAAACTTGTTTGTAACTTAATCTCCTCCCTTCCCGCCCCATCCCAGAAATGCCCCTTTGGAGTTTTCCATTGCTCACATATTTTCTTTGAGAGTGAGTAAATCAGATCAATTGGGCATATTATTATGGAGGGGACTCTAGTTCTTTAAATGTATTAGTAATTGAAATGTGAATAATTTGACTTTAGTTGTGGCTTTCCTTTTTTGTATGGTGTTGCTTGTCAGTTAGCAAAACAAAGCAGAAAAAAAAGAAGCAACCCCAAACCCAAGTGCAGGAAGGGGCAGGTGTCCAAGCCACCAAGTTAAGATGTTGGTCAGGAACGCTGGCCCTCTTTCTGTGCAACCTCTAGGGCATGTGGAAAATCTGCAGCATGCAGTTTTGTTGGTAAAGGCAGCACCTAGATGCTGATCCAGAGCACCCATGGGGATTGCTGCCCAGAAGATGATGGAGGAGAGTGCAGAAGAGATGTTTTCTTCCTGTCTTCCCGTTCTCCCCACCCCTGCCAAACTCCCCAGACAAACCCAGACTGTGACCTGTCATTTCCAGAGTAGTTCTGGATGACCCGCTGTGCTGAATTACAAGCCTGAGAAATGAGGGATTAATAATTCAGTGATTTAAAACCAAAATAATGTAAAATGACAACCAAAGCTACCCTGTTGATTTCCCCTTTTCTTTTTCCTCAGATTGACCCTAAAGTTGCGTTTCCCCGACGAGCACAGCCCAAGGTAAGTAGGAGGATCGATAATAGGATTTCAGGCACACAGAGAATCATTGTTGCCAGGCAGTTCGGGTTTCAGCCGGGGAATTGGCAATGAAAGCTTTTAAAGCTGCTGCTCAGGGGGATCAGTGCGTGGCGGAGGCCCAGGAGGCTGCTCCGTGTCCGTGCAGAGCCGCTCTGCCGGGCCGGGCAGCGGCACCGGGGCCGCTCTGGGCAGCGTGTCGTGTTCGTGAGGAGTCTTTGGATTAAATGCAGGCTTCAGGCTTGTTTTGAGTGAGCTTTCAGCTCTGTGGTTGTGATGGATGGGGATTTATCTCTGCCTTCATTGTCGCAAATTTTCTTTTGTATAACTGGGGAGATGCGTGCGGAGTTGTGCCTGAGCCTGGGAGGGCAAGTTGCTGGTGAGGCTCCGAGCCCTGGGTGTTCTGTAGGAGCAGGGGAGCAGTGAGCTGTGAGTGTCCAGCTGGCCAGGCTGGCCGGAGCAGTGGCCTGGGGATGCTGTGGCCAGTCCTTGGCGTGGCACGGGGACGATGCAGGGACACAGCCATGTGCTCCCTCCAAATGCCACTGGGTGCCATTTCTCCTGCAGGAGCTGCCTGTGCCATGCAAGTGCTTGTTGCACTTTAGCTTGTGCCTAATGAAAACAAATTAGTTTCAAAGCCAGACTTGCAGCGTGTGAATTTTGAAAGCCAGAGGCTGAAAGAAAACTTTTGTAATTGACTTTTTTTAAAATTTGTTTTTGAGAGTCTATTGGAAAAACTTAATTTAACTGATGTATGGCACTTGTGTACGCACTTGTCATCTTGGGTAACTTCAGTCTTCTGGTAAATATGGGAGAAAAAGGCTGCAAAGTTGTGCATGCAAGGCAATAAGGAAAAGTGGTTTAAAGTTGGTGGTGGGAAACTACCAGACCAACTGCCTGAACTGCTATTGCATGCAGCCCCTCATGAAAGCAAGCAGTGTAACTGTGTGTTGAACCATGATAAGTATTGCACAAAATAGGCACCTAGGAAAAACCCTGTGCCATTTAAAACCCCCAGGCATAGCACAGGAGAGGTGCTGGGGAGTTCTTATAAAAATAAAAGGGGAACAAACCCCAACAACCTACTCGCAGAATTTTAAACCAGACTAATGTAGGCAAATGTTTAGAGGTTCTTTTCTTCCTAGGACATATCTAATTACTAATTGGTGAATAAAAGTGTGCCTGGCTTGCTTCTGCACTGAGCAAAGAGTTTATAGTGTGTGGGGCTTGTGGCTTCTGGATTGTGTTGTTGGATTGATGCCATCTGTAATATACAATTTAAAGTTTACAGAATTTTGATCTTGAGCTTGATGTGCCTATCCCCCTTCCCAATACCTTTTAAAGGTTAATTTACATTTTAAACTGTCATCAGTGCCAGTTATCTGTTTTTACAGAGTTATTTGGAGAAGTTTGTAATGCATACAACGGAGTTGTTAAGCTGTCCCATGTGATTACTTCTCTAACAATTAAAAAAATGAGGACGTGTTTTACATCGAGGATATTAGTGAGTTAAAATTTTGTGTTAAAGAATGCAAAATCAGGTTGTATTGACAAAGGGGATTTTGTTTTTCTACACTTAGGGGTTTTTTTCCCTTGGTTTTTGGTAACAGACATCTTTCAAGCGTGGGGCAAATGCTGGAATGGTCAAATTCCACTCTTAGCAGGAGCTTGCTCTCTCTGGAGAGGTCAGCAGTGTCTCTTGCTGCTTTTTACACAGTTGTCCTTTCTAAAGTGTTGGGATTTCTACGGGGCACTTGAAAAAAATCTGAAGATTGAAAACAGCCTGATCTGGAGACTGGAGAAAATCAGATGCAATAAAGACCAGATTTTACATCAATTATGATGTATTATTCTGGCAAGCATTTCATAATCTGAATATTTTGTTTTCTGGTTTTTTAATTAGATACTGAATTAAGGTTTTGGACTTTAGTTGTTCATTTATCCCAGTTGAATAGCAAATGCTCAGCGTTAAAATGTGACTGTACTTTAGTCTAATTAACTAGCTAATGCTTGGGTCTGTGGAGATTAATGGCATTTAATGAAATGTCTCTGTCTCTCTCTAGGTGCAAGGGGAGAATTTGTGTTTTGTTTTGTATTTTTTTCCCCTGAGTGATCTTCTTTCCTGGTATGTTTAGCAAAATGGGGATTTGTTTTGGGTTTTTACCTTTTCCTGGCAGTAATGGGGGCTGAGGTGAAGCAAGGTTGGGGGTGCATTCCCTCTTCTCGTGCTTCCATCCGTCCATCCCTGTCATTAGAGCTGAGCTTTGCCAGTCCACACTCACTTGTTCCTCCCCTCCTGATTCATGGAATTGCTGTGGATCCTTTCAAACCCCAGCCTAGTAAAACGCTTTCTTTCTTTTGGGTTTTTTAAACCTCGGTTTGACACCTCTCTGGTGATGCAGATTGGCTCCTGAGCAAGCAGTGGCAGGTTTTAACAGCCCAGCATTCTTCCCTGCTTTCCTTAGAATGACCCTGCAGAAATCCTCCTGACTGCCTCTGCTGGATTACCGGGATGTGTAATCCTGCTCTCCTTGGGAAGGCCAGCACGACTTGAAGCTATTGTTTTAGGAAATCCGCTGCAGGGTTTAACTCGTTGGGCTTCTGGTGAATATACCTCTCCTTCCTTGGGGCTGCTGTTCCTTGATAAAAATCTGTCTTGCTTCCAGTGCTGGAAGACACTCTGTAACAGGAGATCATCTGTAACTCTGCTGATTTAAAAAATCCTTGTACCCCCTTTTGAATACTGAAGACTACAATAATTTGACTTACTATTAACGTAGCCTGCCATTTCTGATGTTATCTGCTCATTGTGATGTTACTCAATTTAACATTTTTATTAGATAATTTCAAATGTGAGCATTTTCCTGCCTCATGCCTCTGCCTTAGGGATTTATTTCAAAAACAAAACAAACCTGAAGAGCAAAAGGACAGTAGCCTATGTCAGTGAAGTAGTTCCTTGGCCATGAAAATGTCTTTGGTGTTGGAATTCGGATGCTTTGTTGTGCAGAGCCACATATGAAACAGAAGCAGGTAAAACTTCAGCCAAAGTTTCCAGTCAGTGAGGCTGCCCACGGAGGTGTGTTCTGTGCTCAGGTTCCTCCAGAGTGGGATGGAGGAGCTTGTTCTCCTGCACTTACTCCAGGGACATAACACGAGTGGTTGGGAATTGCTCCCAGGTCAGCAAGCTGGAGCTGCCTGCAGTAAGGTGTGTGGCATTCTTGGGCACTGTGGCTGTGCCCTGCTGGCTGTGTTCTGGAGCCAGGGCAGGGTTGGTGCCCGCTGCTGCTGGCACGGCGTGTCTGGTGTCCTGTCTGCGTGACCCTGGCTGCAGGTGGCCACTGCCCGTCAGTCTGGGGGCCAGTCTGCGTGGATGGAGTACGAACATGAACGCTGGTGCCACAGCACAGCAGAAGGACCTGGTCTGGTTGTTTTGTCTGATAACGGGCTGGGGATGCAGCAGCGATGTCTTTATTGGCCGTGTCACTGTCACAGGGGTTGATGCAGGACTCTCACTGTCACAGGGGCTGGAGCAGGACTCTCACTGTCACAGGGGCTGGAGCAGGACTGTCCTGGCCCCGCTGTGCCCCGGCTGGTCCCGGATCCGCACGGTGCCCGTGGCCAGCTGGGTTTCCTGTCTGCCTGGGCACGTGGGCTCAGCAGTTGTGCACATCTGGTCCTTCTTCTTGGGCAAGAGGCAGTGTCAGCAGCTCTCCTTTCATGTGAGGTGGTGTGAAGCTGCCTGTTCAGAGCAGCAAATGGAGGGCATGCCCTTTCGGGATAGCACCCAGGCTAACCTGGGATTTTTTTTTAAGCTAGCCGGTGGATTTAGATGTCTGATTCCAATTAAGTTAGCTGTGGGTGGGGTGTCTGCATCCCTTGGCTGTCTGATAAGCCTCAGCCAGAGTAGCAGGGAGAGATTTTATTCCAAAGCAAGTGATGGACCTAGAAAATCAAGAGTTCTGTTTGTGTAAACTCCTCCAGGTTAGTCCTACTACTTCCCATCTTATTTTAGGTGTTAGGTAGACTTTGAAGTTTCTTTTTTCCTCAAAAGAGTGTGAACTGGAGACAGTATCAGAACTAGGGATTCTTTCTTTCCTGCCACCCTTCCTTCCCCACCAGGCTGTAATGAGCAGCAAGGTCAGACCTTTTCCTGAGGATTTGTTTAAATTCTTTTTAGATTCCCCTGCATTTGCGGGTCTGGGTGGAGTAAGAGAGGAAGTATTTTCTAATCTTGGCATCAGGCATAGATGTGTACCTTGATAATAATCATGGTATCATCTGTGTGCAGAGTAGTGTGAAGTCCTTCCCAGATGGTGTGGGGGATTTCTTTGGGTGGTCCATGGCCACTGTTTGGGTGTCTTGTTCAAGACCAATCCAACCTTGATGTGGATCCCTTGTCCAGGGTAAGCGTCTCCAAGAATTGGATGGTCCAATAGAAAAGTTTCAGAGTCTGGGTCTTGGCTGATGAAGCCAGCTCCAGGCAGTGTAGGCTCAGGGTTTTGGAACCCCTTGTCTTTGGGCTGGGCTTTGTGCTCTCTGTGGTGTGGCCAAGACAGGCAGTGATCTCTGTCCTTGGATGTCACAGCCAGAGGAAGAAGGGGCTGTGAGGGCCTTGTGTGGAGTGCAGGGAGTTCTGTCAGCAACAGGAGCTGAGCTGCATTTCTGTAACTGTTGTATTTTGGAGATGTAAACATGTATTTTGTCTCCCCAATCACTCAGGTAGATTGTTCGTGTTGTCCTGAATCCCCACAGACTGTCTTGTGCTTGTTAAAACGTCTGTATTTCCATTCTCATTGCCTAAGGATGTCCTTCATGTTAAGAATAGTCCTAGTGTACTTTCCTTCCCTTTGACATACTGCTAATTAAAAAATTAAAATTGAACACTGTCTAACATGGGATTTTTTAAAAAAGGAGGTTCTTCATTGCCTGTGTTTTCCTGAATTGTTGGATTATTTTTAATGGCATCTACCAGGTGACTTTTGTGC